TAAAAAAAATTTTCCCCCCCCCCCCCGGAAAATTAAATAATTTTTTTTCCCCCCCCCCCCCCGGAAATTTTTCTGCGGGCGCCCATGTTCATATTTCAGCTGTTAAAAATAACTCGAATGAAATGTAAAGTTGACTTGACGGGAGAAAGTTATGACCAGGCAACCCAGTATTTACATAGCCATATTATGTCAATCAAAATCGACCAGACTACTAATACCTAATGCCATTTCATCAGTGACTACAAGATAGTATCATGAGATCCATTCGATGTATAAAAAAAGGGATTGCAGAGAGGCTCAGTCATATAATGTGCATAGAGGCTCAGTCATGTAATGTGCATAGAGGCTCAGTCATGTAATGTGCATAGAGGCTCAGTCATGTAATGTGCATATAGGCTCAGTCATGTAATGTGCATAGAGGCTCAGTCATTTAAAGACAACCAGACACCCACAAGTTGTCATGCTCAGTAACAATACTTAATAAATTTAACATTAATAATTACATGTGTAGCAAAGATAAAACTGAAATAGAGATGGAACATCTGCTGGTCCCGAGACCACTCTTTCATTGAATTATATTCACAACTGTCCTTAAAGTGTTTAACAGCAAACAATCTCAGAATTGATAAGTGTAAAATAGTTGAGTAGCCTGTTGCCACAAGATCCGCACCTTTTGGTCACCTCTCGATGGATGGTTCTATGGTACTGTCTGTGGATATTGTTTCATCTCTTCAGAGTTTCTTTAAAAAAAGATTCAAAGTTTTTTTAAAACTCTTACAAAAGATTAAAAAGATTTAAATAAAAGTTATACCTCCTTAGCGATCAATAACATATCTCATGGAATCCATGTCTCAATCAATATAACAAATCTCATGAAATCCATGTCTCTATCATCATAACATACTCATAAAATCCATGTCTCTATCAATATAAGTCTTTTAAGAGAATTTTCCGTGGGCCAACCAATTTGTCTTGCCCCTTCTGCCACTTCCTGCACCGTAGGTCCTAAGGAGTGCAGCCCTACTCCATTCTCTTTACATGGCATCTCTTACTAAGAACCTCAATACCATGAACCTTTTTTGACATAGAATGTCAGAGTCTACTAGGCTATATTTTTTGCAGTCCTGTGAGCCTGGAGTGTACCAACACTATGGAAAGGCTTGCAGATCGCCTCACCTATTATTTTCTTTTACTCAGTACATATTGAGATAGTGTTTAGTTGATAGGGAACTTGGAAGCTGTGGAAAATATCACAGAAGTCTTGACAGTAGGATGGGATTGATTGTCTGAGAGCGAGTAGCCTTATAGCTTTTGAATATATGTGTTATCATTATGTTGAATAGAAATATAGTTCATTAGCAAACTATACATAGTGATTGATTATATCATCATATTGAAAACAGTAATTAAAGTATCGTCATCCATAAAAGGACTTTGTTATTTGATGTTAACTAGTTGGAGCCTGCTGAATCATATTTAAAGTGTTGCATTAGAAGAGCTGTAACAGCCTTGCAACTCCTCAAGCTTGAGTCAAGCCGAATTCCCACTGTCTCATGTAGAAAAACCCATGCACTTGTCTAATGTTTAAAAGTTTTCCTATACCACATCAATTTCCCACTATCTCTTACAACAAAAACCATCCAATTGTCTGTTTGTAAAAATGTACACTACTTACCATTAAATTCTTCCATTACTCACTCTTGTTCCGGCTGACCATCTTGAGCAGCTGTCTCACTTGCTTCTACCTGTTTGAGAACCATCTGGGCCTCTTGAAACATGCCATGAGATATGTAGTAATCTATCCATGCCTGACTGTCGTTTGGTTGACCAGTTTGAGGGTCCATGTTGGGATAGTAGAGTAGTTGACCAGTTTGAGGGTCCATTATAGGGTAGTAGTATGGTTGACCAGTTTGAGGGTCATTGATGGAGACGTAGTGTGGTTGACCAGTTTGAGGGTCCATGATGGCGTTGGACTGTAGCTGACCAGTTTGAGGGTCCATGATAGCGTTGTACTGTGGTTGACCAGTTTGATGGTCCATGATGGGGTTGTACTGTGGTTGACCAGTTTGATGGTCCATGATGGGGTTGTCTTTACTTTCTCTTGGTTGAGAGTGGGAAGTTTGTGTTGGTTGCTGTTGTTTCATAGGTTGTTGTTGCACATGTTGGTCTTGCAATGCTGGTTGTTTCACAGGTTGTCGTTGCATGGATAGTTGTTTCATGGGTTGTTGCTGGATGGGTTGTTTCATGGGTTGTTGCTGTGGAGCCGCAGTTTGCTTAGGATCTTTATGTTGCTGTGGATTGGTAATATAATGTTGAAACTTTAATCCAACGACAAGAGGGGAAGCCAACTGCATAAATCAAATGTTTCTGCGCAGCAAAAATATCAGAAGTTGAAATAAGGAAGCACATGGTGAACAATAACTTTTTAAAAAAAATCGAACATTGATGACATTCTACAAAAATAATATTGATCTTGGGGATCAGTTCAAATCAGAATATTTCACTTATCAATGAGTATTAAAATCATCGGTTTGCAGCCATAAATTCATTTTTAAGGGAAGATTATTTAGGCCATGAAAAGCTGAGATGATAACTCACAGGATTTCTCTTAAATAAATTCAACTATTTTAAGAGTTAACAAATGTATGGCATGTTTCAATAAAAGACAAAGATTTGTTTTCCCTTTTCAAATAAATGTAGCATCCTAATTTTAAAAAATTATTTTTTTTTAAAATATATTCAGGTATTTAGGCCAAGTTTACTGCAGGTCATCAGGGTAGCTGAGTGGTCTAAACTGAGCAAATCTCAAGTTGGTGGTCTAGAGATCAATTCCAGCCAAAGCAGTCAAGCAAAAACATCACCAGCGCCCCGGTTAGATTGGCCTCGTTAACCCTGGATGGCAACTCATGTAAGAGAAGTAAACTCTGAAATCAATCGAGATGGAGTCTCGAAAGGCTCTGACAACATTCCGACAACTCCAGCGACGGCACTGGTGCCAGCTTATAATAAGCAATTAAAGAAATAATCCCAGACCTCTGAAGCCCATTTCATTAGAAAATGCTGGACAAAAAGTGGTTATCACAACTGGTGTGTTAGAACTGCAGGTTAAATAACTGAACATTTTAAGAGTATTACATGCTATTAAATCCAGATCTCACCTCTCACACTCAATTTCCAATCTTAACTTTTTTCCACAAAAAAAAGGACACTGGCCATGTAATCTCTCGAAGAGCTCCCCTTGGAACTGAAATATTAACTTATTTGGCATCTGATAGAGACACAGATTTGTAACTGGATTTTATAGAGGTGAAAACTCAGAACTTCCAGTATCTATCAAACAATAAACAATTCTAAAAATAAATAAAAGTCCTTATTAGTGTCTTACCTTTCCCTCCTTAGAGAAAGGCATGTTGGGAAACCTCGAAAGGTCAAGTTGCCTTAACCCCAGTGGGTTGTTTGAATTGTTGTGCCACGTACAATACACGAGTTCATTGTGCTGCTTAAGACTGAAGTATTTAGCCAGACAACTGGCTACATCAGGGTACCTTTTACCTTTCTTGGCAACATGTATGAGACTTTCTAGACGTTTAGGTACAGCTTTATCCAACTGAAATCAACAAAGGGAAAATTTTTGTGATCATAAATGATTTTTTAACTTAAGAATCTAAGTAAAAATTTAAGGCACATAAGAACAATTTATAATTATTTATCATAAACTCATACCTGGAATAGTTCTTTCCTGATAGAAACTTCAAATTTTTTATCCACATAGTGGTTTGGGATGTTAAGAAGAGTCACCAGGGTTAAGATAAGGATTCTTTCAGCCAGGAGTTTCTCACCACTGCTACCATGACACAGGTCTCTGACAAAGCGAATCAAACTGAAACTGCTGAAAGTTGTAAATACAAATATAAGAGATGCAACACAGACGATTTAATTTCATAAATTAAAAAAATGGTCAGACAAGCAGGTTAATTATTCTTAAGGAATAGGTAAATCGTAAATAAAAAAACCCAACCACAAATCTTGTAGGTAAACAACCAACATCTTGTGGGACCAACTGTCAGGTGCATACGCCACACACAAAAACTGGTAGGTAAACAACCAACATCTTGTGGGACCAACTGTCAGGTGCCTACGCCACACTCAAAAAAGGTAGGTAAACAACCAACATCTTGTGGGACCAACTCAGGTGCCTATGCCACACTCAAAAAATGTAGGTAAACAACCAACATCTTGTGGGACCAATTGTCAGGTGCCTACGCCACACACAAAAATTTTAAAATTGTGTCAAAAATAAAAAATCAAAACAACAGCTGACCTGTTTCCAGAGCCAAGTAAAATGTTGATCAGCTGAGTTTGTGTCTCCATAATGACATCTACGGAATATAGCTCTTGCCCTAAGATAGTTTCCTGCACTGTCATGTCTGATTGATTTGGGTCCATTTGTTTTTTGCAAGCATTGACCAGATTCACATGAGCCAACAAAGAGTTGGGCAAGTAGAAAGCTGGTTTACGATGTACCTGATACTGATGTTTATACACACAAAAAAAAAAAATCAATTTCAGATGGGTAAAAATTATGAAAAATCAATCAAAATAATGACGTAATCATTGAAGTTCCAAGTTACAAAGCAAATATAATGAAAAATAGATTATTTATTGCATGTGCAATGTTGATGATGGTTAAAATTGCACTATACAAACGATACTGTCCCTGTTTTCTTGAGATGTCTAAGCCTCATTCTGTGAGATTATGGAACAAATATTCTGCTGTTGTTTTTTTTGGTTATTTTTTCTTCTCCAGGTACAAGAATATTTGATTTGGTTTATGATTTTACTGGCTGGTTTGTGTAGTACAAGTGAAGTGTTTCAGTTTGATCCCTCTACTCTAAATGTAATATGGTGGGTCTCTTTTCGTTGGGTTTCAAATGTTTGAAATAAAATTTGGGACTTTCAAACAGAAATTGAAAATGCTTGCAAGGATGTACAGTTTTGAAGTAGCATTATGAAAAGTAACATAATGGGTTTTTGTTACACATTGTGATGTTGGCAGAAAATCTCACCATTGAAAATAAAAATGCATCTATATGTATTGTAAGCAGAGAGTAGAAATCTACATAAATCAGATCAGTCTGAGAGAATGAATACATTTAGTAACATATGGGAAGGGTAAATGTAACTTAATGAACACTTACATTGGCTAAGGTAAAGATGGACGCACAGAAATGAAATTCCATCCAGAAAGTGATACACTCCAAGTCAAACATTGACAGGAATTTTCCCTGACCACGCTGACCGATAAGGTTCATCATTTCTACAAAAAGATTGGTTGACTTGTGCATGTCACCTGAGCATCTGATCTCGTTGAATGATTGCACAAACAATGAGCCAGCAAAGTGTAGCTGTTGTTGACCTCCTGGTTCAGCTTCAGACAGATACAGTCCAAGAGATGATAAGTTTGTAGGACTTTTATTTGTCAATTTCTGACTTATTTGAGTCTGAAAAATTACATTTATTTTTTATGTTTAAGTCAAAGAACAAAATGAAATTATGACACCATTTTATGATCTTTCAGAAAATTTACTGCTATTAGCCTACAAATTATCTGGAGCAAGTCAAGGTGAGCTTAAGAGACAGGTTTATAAGGTCATAATGGCAAGTAAATATTCAATAGTTTTTTTTGCAAAGCAATTACTTTTTTTTCGTATTTTTCTAAATCGTTTAAGAATCCACATTTTGAAGATTTCTTATGGTGCACTAGACTGTTATTTTTATGTAAGTAAAAGATAACTAAATATTTTAAAAATTAAATTAAACATGTTTGCAAATGTTCAAATACATTTATTGTTAACTTGACCACTGGTTTAGGTTTAAGGACCAGAGAATATATTTTTTTATGTCAGTCAAAACCTGTGAATAGGAGACCTTGATATATCAGCAGAGGAAGATAATTTCCTCAGAAACTGATTTTTGTCCATCTGAAATTTCTCTGGGAGCTGCCTGACTTCTGTCTAACATTTCTTTGGGACATGTCCTACTTCTGTTTATCAGCCATTTCTCTGGCAGCCGTCTGACTTCTGTATATATGCCATTTCGCTGGGAGCTGTCTAAATTTTTTCATAATTTCTCTGGCAGCTGTCTCCTGGCTCAGGTTTCTATTCCACTATCCATTGTTTCCTTTTTCAAAGGATGTCATTATGTTAAAATGTATCATTAAAAAGTTATTACTTAAGCTGTGTCAGGCTTACTTCAAATTGTGTAACTTCTTTCTGTACATCCATCTTCAGTTGTAGCAAAGATGACCAGAAAACTGCCTTCGTTACCCAGCAGGCTAACCTCACAAATTCTCCAGGCACTACCTGAGTATTGCCATTCACCCACCAAAACCGAAAGTATCTACGCAAAAATCAATGAAAAGATGTGGACAATTAAATATATTAGAGATAAATTTTGTATGTAAAAATAACTTCTACTTTTTCAGTACAAAATCTCGTTATCAAATAAAGCGCTTTTGATTATAATGAGTTGCTTACAAAAATTATAATTTAATTTAAGGATGCACAAACAGTATCATATGTCACTCAAAAGTGGTGGATTAGACTAATCCAACAATTAAAAGATTTTTTTTTTACCGGAGAATTTAAAAAAAAATGTATTCTAATTTTTATAAGAAAACATTATTTTGAATTTTTTTTGGTTGAAATTTGAATTTTAAAATCATATTTACGTTTTTGATTGCTTATAACATTTTCAAATCAGCTCATAGGGATGCAAAGTTACCACCTCCTCCCCCCCCCCCCCCCCACCAAAAAAAAACTACCTTGAACTCAGCCCCAAGTTCTGTATATCTAAATTGATCAAAGGTTAGATTTGAATTTAATTAATTAATTTAAACTTCAACATGAATTACTAGTCCTGTCAATTGACCCATTGATAAACCCATTAATTGATAAACCTATTTATCGATAGCAGTTATAACTGAGAAATTCTCAATCCTATGACAGTAGTACGTCTCACTGTAGTACCAAAGTCCATCTGTGTATGCTTTCCTCATATCCCTATGTTCTCAATGCCCCATTCAAATCCAGAATAATTACAAATCCTACTCATCAAAGTGTGATGTTTAATTTTAAAGATTAACAATTTATCAGATTTTTTAAAAAGTGAGTTTCAAAACTGTCAAATGTTTGTTTTAATGCTTGAAATATTACATTCATTGTGCTTATTTTGCTAAGGAGCTATACCAGTATCGGATCATTATTTAACTATCATTCACATGTCATGTAAAAAAAAAATTTTTAATTTAATGTTCGAGTCAAAATAAAATTAAACAAAGTGCTTAATTAAAAAATATCAAATAATTGGCAGATGAATATGCAGTGATCTGCCTATTTGCTAATTATTGCAACACTTATTTAACAGAATAAAATTTCAACCTTTCTACTTGGGCCAGGGTTTCCTGTGAGTTTGCAATATTGGCAACGAGCTTCAAGACTTGTTCAATGTCAGTCTTAGGGTATGGTCTCGAGGGAGCCAGAAACTCTAGTAGTCTATCCACTGAATTCCAACCGGATTCTTGAAGAAGAATTTTTTTCATGTCAGCCATGCTGCACTTTTCAAGATACTCAGCTGCTTGGAACAGATTGTAGTCTAACTCAACCTGGTGAGATTGTGGGAAGCAAAGTTATAATTTAATATAGAGCCTAAGTGGGTAAAAGATTATAATGTAACTTATATGGTGAGAATGTGGGGGTACACATTATAGTGCAATATAATCTAGTGTAAAAAAAATTATGATGAGATGGGGTGACAGATTGAAGTTTAATTCAAACTGGTGTAATGATATGAAATAAAATATTTGTAATCATACTATCTGGAGAGACAGTCTGCTAAGATAAATGTGGACCTAGTCCTTATATTGATACTGAGTAGTCTCTGCCTAAGATTAAATCAACCCTGCAAACATTCTCACATTTAAGATCAAAAAGTTGAGAGCCACTGCCCTATCATTATCCCTGATGGAATCCCAGTTGTGCTGATTCTTGCAGGACGTTTGGTCACACTCGAGTTCTTCATGGAATTTTTTACAGGTCATCTTCTGCTCAGCCAATTGCAAGATACATTTTCTAACAGCTTTTGTCAGCTTTTTCATAATCTCCACAGTATATTTGGTTAGCGCTTCAACAGCCTGTGGAGATGAAGACACATTTCTCAGTTGTTAAATGAATGAAGTGCACAAGTTAGGTTTTGAGTAGCATTGCTGTGAGCACATTTTTGTTTGAGAAAAATAAGGTCCAGAAGTTTGTCAACAACAAATAAACCCCAGAAAAATCTCCACCATGCCCCTGCTCCACACTAAAACATGTCAGTTCCACACACTGAAACATCCCAACCCCACACATCAAAACATGTCAGTTCCACACATTAAAACATCTCAGTTCCACACTAAAACATCCCAGCTCTACAAATTAAAAAAAGACACACTAAAACGTGCCAGTTCCACCCCCCCCCCCACTTACCTCTCTTCCCTCCACTGTGTACTACTTGCCCTTACCCTCACATGTTTGTCTATTCTTATATAACGCCTGTTCTTTTGGATACCATGTCAACTTTTGCCTTGTCTCAAATTAAAAAAAGACACACTAAAACGTGCCAGTTCCACCCCCCCCCCCACTTACCTCTCTTACCTCCACTGTGTAATACTTGGCCTTACCATCACATGTTTGTATATTCTTATATAACGGCTGTTCGTTTGGATACCATGTCAACTTTTGCCTTGTCTCATCCAGCTCTAAGCCATAGAACTCCACATATTTTTGCCATTGTTCTTTTCTTCCAGTCAAAATTTTTATGAACTTAAAAGATGAAAAAGATATAATAATAGTGGACACATAAACAGTGATTATTTTTGTGTATAAATA